ATGATGATGATGATGAGGTTCAACTGGTCACAAAAAGAAATGTTAGTCTTTCTCACATTGCAGGTCATGGAGCTGAGGCACAGGGAAACAAGGAGACTTAAACCGCCTGAGTTCGCCTACCCCTGAGAAAACTGCTGCTATGAACTCTGCTGATCTGAGTCGATCCTTTGCTTTTGCTTTTCTCCAACAGCAGTGTGTCATATGTAAGCATGGTGGGGCGATCACAACATGCTACGCTATTGTCAGAGCCGCTGCCTGTCACCTCTGTACTCGTCTAAATCCAGGAGGGTTTGTGTCGTCAGTGTTAAAGATGGGAACGAGTCCCTCTGTGGGTCGCCTATATTATGTGTTTTCTGTGAAAACAGTCATTTGTGTCTCTTGTGGGACTGTAAGAGGTTTTTTTGTTTGTTTTTGTTTTTTAACTTTTCACCCTCTACATTTTTTTTATATAAACTTGACGGTGTGGTTCAGGATTTCTTTTGGTTTTGTTGTCATTTTTTTCCCCATGAAGGTATGAACTGTATGAATAAATTCATACACATTCATTTTCAGTTGAATTCTTTTGTACACAGTGTATTAAATAAATGTTTAAATACTGAGCAAGTGTTGCTGTGTTTTCCCTTCAAGTGTGACTGATGAACAAGCAGTTTGAGTGAACACCTTGGGAATATTTGTCAGTTTAGGTGTTTCGTTTTAAATCAGGAAAACACATCCTGTTCAGGCAGGTCCGTCCTCTGTGCGTGTGGAGACAGCTGACATCAGGTCCGTGTTATCAGGGCAGGGCCGAGTGCATCTGGTGAGTGAAGTGTTACGAGGAGTGGCCTTTAACCCGGCCCTTTAGTGCAAATATTGACCGTGGCGTATAGACCACACAAAGACATATGAGTGAAAGGCAATAGAGGGAGCTGAAGTAAGGACACCTCATCACTAAGCTGCCTCCACATCCTGGTGCAAGAAACACAGAAACATTTATTTAGTGCTGTGTCAAGGAACAGAAGATTTCAACAGGAAATTGCAGTCAAGAAGAACACTGTAAATGAATG